ACATACATACACATATACATACATACATACATACATACATACATACATACATACATATTGAGAGCGGGCATCAGAATTTCATTTTTTAATGTGTGCCAGTATGTTTACAGAAAAAAGTGACAATAAAGGTTATCTTAGATTCATTTGTGATTATGGTATTATATGTATGTTACCATTTTGGTGTCATTCTAATGTCTGGTACTTACCTTGGAGTGTAAATTGTTTTGAACTGACTTCAGTACTAATGAAAGAAATACATAATATTCAAAGCAATTGTTTAAAACCTTACCTTGTGTGACAAGTGCTGTATTCAGATTCAGACTGAATTTTAAACTCTCTGTTTATTTTTTTTTATTTGCAGATTTCTGTGGTTATGAGCTAATATGATTGGTTAGCCTTATTGGCACTAAAATCTAATGCCCCCACCAATAACTTGCAAGGATTGAACACTCACAAAAGGGAATGTTACGGTGGACAGTTCATTTAGAAGGTGGGCCTCGAAGAGTAAACCACGCTGCTGTGGCTGTTGGACATAAAGTCTACTCTTTTGGTGGTTACTGTTCTGGTGAAGATTATGAAACTCTACGACAGATTGATGTTCATGTATTTAATGCAGGTAAGTTGTTGAATGTTAAGGTTTAGAGAAATGGGACTTAATTATGCTTTATTTTTTTAAAACACACACACACACACACACACACACACACATATATATATATTTAATGTTAATTAATTTTAATTAATATGTCAGCCATCAAACATAAATGAAGCTACTGAAAATGTAAAAATATTCAATTATGGGGATAAAGAAAGGAATTTTTCATATTAAAATATTACATTATTCTTTTTTAGTAAAATTATATATTTGGGGAAGCATATGTAAAATAATACCATGTTTTGGAGAAAAAATGGAGGTGCCAGGTTATTAGTATATTTCAGGAAATCATTTACTTATTTTTAATATTATTAATTGTTTATTTGCCAATTTTAAATTGTGTAATACATCAGATTGTATCTCAAGAAAGTCAAAGCTCTCCTTATTGTTTATTTAGTAAGAAATGTTTGATAACTTCAGAAGAGAATCCTATGTAGCTTCCCATTATCTATATAATCCTGAAGTGACAGTACTCGGCATATACATTTTAGTTTTTTATGAAATTTATTTGCAGCCCATCTCATATCTAATGACTCTGGATAGTAATTTAGTCCGCCCTAACCCTAAACTGAAATGATGGAACATGTTATTTTGTATTGTTCCTTCTACCCAGATGGTCACAAGGAATTTTTATCACTCCTTTCCATTAACCAGTCTGGATATTCTGACATACTATTATAGTACAGTTATACTATAATTATGGAATTACTTCTATTTTTTCTTACATCCTTTAGAATGCTACATGTTTATCTTTTTTATCTTAATTGTGATTTTTATTTTTGATCGATCAGTTGATAAAACTTTCTGATCTTTTTTCTAATAGTCTCTCTGCGTTGGACCAAACTACCACCAGTGTGGACGAACAGCAGGGACCATGTGAGAGAAGTTCCTTATATGAGATATGGGCATTCTGCGGTGCTGATTGATGACACTATCTACATCTGGGGAGGCCGTAATGATACTGAGGGAGCCTGCAATGTATTATATGCCTTTGACGTCAGTAAGTGGTGTCCTGCTTCCATAACTTTCACTATCACATGCTTATAAAGGTGAATAGGCAGGGAAGACAAACCTTTAAGCCATTTATCTCTTTTTGAGATGATATTGATGGAGCAGTGATGGCACAATAGCAATGGCCATGATATTAAACTGAGTAAGCCGAGTGTGTTAACTATAAATGAAGAATTATTGTTAATAATTACTACATTTATTATGCTTTTTAACTTTAATTATATATTTTAAATATTTATATTTTTACATGTAAACACTTCTAAATTATATACCCAATTTATCTCAATGTGTTGCCCATTAATAATAAATATTACATTTATTACCGGTATTTTTAAATTAAGCATTTAGGAAGTATTTATTAATGTAATTGCTCTCCATTTTATTTCATTTTTGTTCTTACTATAAAATAAGCTTCATTAATCTTATCATTACTGAAATTACTTTTCCTTTCAAGTTAAAATCAGCTTTTTTGACAGTGATGCTAATAGTAATAATGATGATGATGATTATAAACTAATGAGATTGAAACTATTTGTGCTTAAACTCATTTGAAACGAATGTTCTCTGTGTTTTTCTATTGACTACATAGTAGTCTCTTTACCTTGGCACAGTAGAATTCTATGCCTCCAAAATGTTAAATGCCTGTTTTTGGAAGCCTAACAAGCTTTTTGTGAAGACAGCCTCAAGTACACTGGTACAAATGGAGTAGCATGAGTTTGTGGAGGAAATGCACATGATGCAGTAGCTAATGCATTATTTGTATTAAGGTGTAAATACCCTAGTATCAAAAAGAGAATAGATAAAATGAGCAAATAAGATATGTTAATATACAGTAGTGATTAAAAGTTGGTGAACCCTTTTGAATTTTAAATATATCTGCATAAATATGACTTAAATTATGATCTGTTGTCTACCCAAATCTTAAAGCTAGATAAAGACAACCTAATTAAACAAGTGAGTCAAAACATTATACTTGTTCATTCATTTATTGTGGAAAATGATCCAAAGATCTCCTTGCTTAAATGGTTAATTAGAGGCAGTTATATAAGTTCTTCATTAAATAATTGGGGCTGTTTTAGGACATACTGCTCTAAATATGACAGACTTTGACCTACCATGACAATAGAGTTCTCACCACAGAGATTATGAAGAAATTTCCGAAAATTTTTATAAATCTTAATGCTAAAAATATGGAAACATTACAAATCCATTTCTAAAGCTCTGCAATGCCATTGGTTCAGAAAATTGTGAACAGTTATGAATGCATTTATCCAAGAGTGCTTTCCTATCATAATTACTCTCATGCTAACTTGATTAGAGTTTGCAGACATGATTCCATTATTAGAAAATCACTGGTTCAAAGTGGGATTCATAAGAGAACAGGAAGGTAGAAACCATAGCCTTAAGAGGAACATTCATGTTCATCTCAAGTTTGCAAAAAAAGCATTTACCGTATTTTCAACCAAAAAAGAGGGTGAAAATCTGGGTGCATCTTATACACTGAATACAGCATTTTATGCCTCCAGAAACCCCATACCCTTCACAAAAGTGAATGTGTAGAGGTTTGGGAGGCCTGCAAAATGCTCCTGGGGGCTGGGGATGGCAAAAACAAGTGAAAAACAGGCCATTTTCTGTCCCCCCAGGAGCACTTTACATGTCTCCCAAAGCCTATGTATGCCCTGTTTTTTTGCAAAAACGGGGCATGCAGAGGGTTTGGGAGGCCTGCAGAGTGAAAAAACTTTTTTAAAAAAATTACATCTTTAAAATCTTGGTGCATCTTATACTCCAGTGCGTCTTATAGTCTGAAAAATATGGTAAATGATTCTTCAGATTTCTATAAAAATGTTGTATGTATAGATGAATCAAAAGTGGAAGTTGGGAGCATATAGGTATTGTTTTGTTTGATGGAACCCAAACACTGAATTCCTAATAAAAACATATACCAATGGGCAAGCATAGACATAGTAATGTAATGGTTTTGGAGTATTTGGCTGCCTCGGGCGGGAGCTAGTCAATTTTTCATTATTGGCAGGAGCATGAATGATGTTTGGTATAAGAAAATTCTATAGGAAAACATTTAGTCATCACTTAGATCCGTGTTTCTCAACCTTGGTGACTTTAAGTCCTGTGGACTTCAACTCCCAGAATTCCCCAGCCAACTGGTTGGGGGATTCTGGGAGTTGAAGTCCACAGGACTTACAGTCACCAAGGTTGAGAAACACTGACAGATGAATCTGAAGTGCAAATGGGTCATGCAGAAAGACAGTGATCCCAAACATACAAACAAGTCCAGAACAGAACAGATGAAGATAAATAAGATGAATATTTTGGAATGGTGAGGTCAAACTCCAGATTTAATTTGCAGAATTATTATCACAGGATCTGAAATGAGCAGTTCATGTTGAAAATTCAAACGTTACTGAGTTAAAGACGTTTGTCATAGAGGAATGGAACAGAATTCTTACATGGTGAAGTGGGAGCCTGATAATCAAGTGTAAGGAACATTTGAGTGCAATTTTTGCTGCTAAAAAAGTGGTGCAGTAAGTTACTGAATCTAAGGGGAAGCATTTTTTTCACACTGTCACATATTGGATGACTTTATGAAATAAAACAAGCTTCAAACTTTGGGGCTATTTTTTTTCACTTGGACTACTCGTTTGTATCAATAAGATTCAAATGAAGCACCGATAATATAAAAGTTCAGAAAAAATCCAAATATAGCAAATATCTTCCTAAAGATGTAAGTTAACAAATTATCTAAGCAAATTGTCTTAAGAAACACAAGAAAATGTGTACCAAGTTGATCTTAGCAGTTGGGTTCATTGTCTAATGTGAAAGAGGGGAAACATGGAGAAATAAATATAAGTAGAACTCAATTAGAAAACTGGAAAGACACATTAGTTCCCACTATGGAAAAGTGGATGATAAAGATGATTTTGTTGGTTTTTATTTTTAATTTATTTTAATTTATTAATTTTTAATGCTACTTGTTTCTCCTACAAAGTGACTCTGGACGGCTTTGTAATTTTATAATTTTAAAAATGGCTCAAAATGTTGTGAAATGTAAAGCAAAAGGTTAAGGTGAGGGTTTTTTTTGCATTCTATTGCACTAAAGAAAATTGGAAATCATTCTTTCTCCTCTTTATTTTTCTCATTTTTCTAACTTTTAATTTCTTCCATATTTTTATTTTTTAAGGAAACTACATAAACAATGTATTAAAAAGAAAAGAATCCAGTTAGAAAATTTGTGGGTAGCTTCTTTGAAAATGACTGTGGTATTGAGTTTACTGTAATGGGCTCCCATAACAAATTTAATAAATAATAATAGTAATATTGAGAGTGCTAATACTTCTATGTTTTTTGTAAGTACCAGAAATCATTTCACTATATATCACATTAGACCTGAGATAATGTTCACAAGGAGTATTTCAAAGCAACATAGGAACTGTCACAGTTCAAAATCCTAGGCAGCCTTCTACCTACCATTTCCTATCATCCCTGGAAAGCAAATGTTCTTGAGGGAAAATAAAATAAAATCCCATATGAGTCACTTCAGGCTAGACAAAGCCCTGAGCCTATTATGCAGGGCACTGTCCTTTGCTGGCTTACAAATGCCATCTAGATTAGATGTCACAGCTCTAATTTCATCTGTTGCACTTGGTAAAGGTCCTTAGGGATAATACACAACTGAATTTAGAGATCTAAATATGGTCAACTTATGACAACAATTGGGACCAGAATTTTTACTATTAAGCAAGGCGATTGTAAGTGAGTGTTTCCTAATTTTATGACTTTTTGCCACAATTGTTAAGCAAATGATTGCAGTTGTTAAGTCAGTCATGCAGTCATTAAGCAAATCTGGCTTTCCTCATTGACTTTGGATGTCAGAAAATGGCTGTCACTGTTGCAAATGAAAATCACATGATCCGAGATGCTGCAGTTCTTATAAATCCATGCTGGCTGCCAAGCAACCAAATTTTGATCAGAATGTTAGGTTTCTTCTAAATGCAAGAATCAGTTGTAAGTCATTTTTTCCAGTGCGTTGCAACTTCGAACAGTCACTAAAGGTATGGTTGTAAGTTGCAGACTACCTGCATATACTCACATAGAACAAGATTTGGCTTCACATTATGAACTTTCATTGGAGTGGAGGACAAGCCTAGCTAGTCTGGTTATGGCTATGATTGAAAGCCAAGTTATGAGAGACCTTTGTGGGATAGAGTTTTTATAGGACAGTCTGTTGCTGCTTCCTGGACCAAGGCTAAAAACTGACTGCCAACTTTGCTCAAGGAATCTCCAAGGATTATCTGTGCTTTTGGGGGGAGGGAAATGGGACTTTTCAGGACAGATGTTGCCTTAAAATTTACACACTTTTCATTGCTGATGTTCTCAGAATTATATGCACAGGATACTTTTCATTTGTGAAAAATATCTCTTCTTCATTTAGTCATTTTCCCAAAGGATTCAAGCCTCTCTGGGACATAGTTTGTAATGATAACATAATAAAGTCAGATAACTAATGGGTTTAGAGAATTTTTAATGAACTACTGTATAGCTTTGGCACATACATTGTTTGATGTGCCTTATACAGCCTTTAAATGCAAGAGTTATGAATTTTTGTCCACTAAATACAATTGATGTATCTCCATTTTTTATTTTTATGTTTTAGGCACACACAAGTGGTTCACTCCAAAAGTTTCTGGAATGGTTCCAGGAGCAAGGGATGGACATTCAGCATGTGTTTTGGGAAAGAGCATGTATATTTTTGGAGGATATGAGCAACTGGTGAGTTGTTCTAAAGTTTGTACCATTTATATGCAGATCTACTTGCGTTCAATATTTAAATACATCTGTGAAAAGTAAAGTCAGCATTATTATTATTTTTTTGGTCAGTTACTGGTGATAGCCTAATGTTCCCAGTCTGAAAATAATGCTAAATTGCTATTGAAGTTAGAAATAAGACTCACTAAATATAGTAAGATTTGTTTCAAAACATGCAACTCGGAATAAAATAACTTGGCTTTGAGCTAAAATCTGTTTGTTAATATTTTTGCAAGCTGATTGTACTACTGAGAAACAGATGAGTAACAGTAATAACGGATAACAGATAATTGAGTTGTCTAGAAACATTTAGGCATTTTTGTCTTTATTGGTCAGACTTATTAGGTCCTGGGGCTTATCAAATATTAAGCCCATATCTATCAAATAATCTGTTGGAACTTTCTGGTGTTTCTGATGACTGTATGTGGATCATAATTATAGCTAGGTTTAGCAATAGCATTTTCAGTGAATCTGCAGAATTAACATGCAGAATGCTGCGATGCCCTCTGAAGGAAACTGCAGAAACAAAGTAGTAATTTAGGATACTAATCTATAACCCCAAATACTTTGTCTTCTTTTATGGTAACTCTAAATTTCCCAAATCCTTGACAAGGACAGCCAAATTGTATCTTTTAAAAGTTAGTACTAATTCCTGTCAGAATATTTGGCTTGAGGTTTGGGGGTGGGGGTAACCTAGTGAGTTCCATTAAACTTGCATTGCTGGGAACAAATTAGATTCAGTTTTATTATTTTAAAAGGCAGTTGATTTAGAGAAAGTATTCAGAGCCATGGATATTACTGACAATGGATTTAATAGTCATTGCTTACTTTTGATGGCTGTAGAATGGAGATAGTTTTATGATGACAACAAAGGTAAAGCCCATGCAGCTTGTAATTCTGTATTTATTTTGAGATTTGGATAATCTAACCTCTGAACAGGTGCTTTGCTTTTTACCCACTTCTTATAGTTCCCTGAATATATTCTAATTCCACAGGGAAATCTTGAAGAATTAAATTCAAGAGTTTTCTTGTCTGGGAACAAGGTAACCAATATCTCTTTAGGAATCCTAGTTTCAGTTGGCAATTTTGTTTTGACATGTCAAGTAATTTAATCACAGCTTTTTTCTTTCAGGCTGATTGTTTTTCAAATGACATCCACAAACTTGACAGTAGCAACATGATATGGAGTTTGATCTGCACTAAGGTCAGTATATATGCAAAAAGTGTATCTTTTGCTCATTAAATGATCCAATTTCTAGTTTAACATCTGTATGCTGTGGGTTAAAATCATCTGGATTATGAATACTCAAACTCCATACCCTTCCACTTCTTTTATTTCAAAATTTAACTTTCGTTTGAGTGCCTCTAACAGGATTTTTTTTTTCAGGGCACACCAGCTCGATGGAGAGATTTCCATTCAGCCACAATAATTGGGACAAAGATGTATGTGTTTGGGGGAAGAGCAGATCGCTTTGGGCCATTCCATTCCAACAATGAGATTTATTGTAACCGAATCAAAGTATTTGACACAGACACAAACTCTTGGCTGGATTCTCCTCCCACTCCTCTTCTCCCTGAAGGCAGACGAAGTCATTCAGCATGTAAGCTATAACACTCCATAGACTATATCTAAATGGTAGCTCAAACAAATGTCTTCAGAAGGTCATATACTGTTCTGTGTTTTTTCTGTCTATATTTTTCTGTCTTTCTATAATTAGTCATGTGCATCTGTTATGAGGAAAATGCCAAAAGCTCAACTGAGTTGAAAGAACAGTGAACAAGAACAAAAAATCAATTGCTTATCTTTCTGTCTATCATTCCTGCTTTTGGAGTTATTCTGACCTGTCTTTTCTCTGATTTTACAGTTGGCTACAATGGAGAATTATACATATTTGGTGGCTATAATGCACGCCTGAACAGACATTTCCATGATCTTTGGAAATTTGATCCAGGTATTAAACTTGCTCCTTTCATTGGTAATTTTATGTTCAGAATTATAATGATGTACTGAGCTGATTACAGGTAGTCCATGGCTTACTACCACAATTGGTATCAGAATTTTTTTTGTAAGTCCTTGTAACTTGAGTGTCACCTATTTTTATGACAATTTTTATGGTGGTCATTAAGCAAATGACATGGTGCTTAAACAAATCTCATACAAATAATTAAAGAATTCCTATTTCCTCAATGGTTTTTTTTTAAATCAGAAATCAGCAATTTTTTTTGCAAATTTGTGATCACATGACTGCAGGCCTCTGCAGCCAGTTGTAAATGCAAGATGGTTGCCAAAAACACAAATTGCAACTTGTAACTGTCAAAATGGTGCCATGGTCATAGGTTCAAGTGCAGCTGATAAGCCCAAAACCATTAATACTTTGAACCATTGTTAAATGGCCATACGTCAAAGACTACCTGTACATGTTGTATAAAATAAATGGGGGCAAATAAATGTAGCTAGAGATTCCATCAGTATCAGCTGTTTATGAGTATCTGGGGACCAATTCAAATTATTAGCTTTGTTTTATTTACCCACATTCTTCTACCATAACCTACTAGAAGAAGAATGTGGGTTGGACAGCATCACCTCCCCGATGGATTCATAACTGGCTGACCAACCGCACTCAAAGTATAGTCCTCAATGGAACTGCATCTTCATGGAGGGAAGTATGCAGTGGAGTAC